CTTGGGGACTCTGCCGCCTTCGCTGTGAAGCGGCGCTAACCCTGGGTTCCCTTTTACCGGTCCAGCGGTCAGAGCGGCTGAAGACTGGCTCCAGCTCTAAAGAACCCCTGCACAGACTGTATGAAGCCTGGGGTGGGGGACCTGGGACTTGTACCCCTAGAAACACTGTGTGGTTTCTATTGTGTGCAGGAACTAATGTTTATGTGAGGCAAACACAAAATCTGTTAAAGTAAAAATACATAAGGATTCGTTTTATTGGGATAATCAGCCCTTAATTAATCCAAGAATGGGTCTCAGGAAATTGAGATATTTTAAGGCAGGATTCGTATGGTAGAAACAGATACCATGATGCAAAGATTGTCATCTGTTGAGTTTTCTGCTGTAGAACTCAACGGGAAAAACGAGAGGACCCTCATCACAGGCTGCTCATTTGACCTTTAGGCTTGTCTTGGGGACTCCGAGCTCCAACTATCCAACTAGATTGGAGATAAAAAGATGGTGTAGATCAAATACACTATCAGGAAATACTTCATGCATTGAAGACACTTGAGAGCTATCTACCTACCGGTCACCCATCACAGAGAGTTTGATATGGCTGTAGATGATGTTTAGAAATTTGTAAATCTTGGTCTTCAGTGTTCACTACTTGTTGCTCTGTTTTGTCTTCCTAGAAGCAGCAGCTTCCATTTGTATCCAATCTCATTCAGAGGCTGGAAAGCCAAACTTGAAATGGTCTCTAAAATGTATTCAGTTGGGGAAAAAACCACCCCTCGGTACTATTATAAACATAGTTTGATGTATGACACTTGTGTTGTCACTAGTGGCAATGTGGCAGTCTTTTTTCTTTGTGCCTTTCTGAAATATGATTGCTAAACGAGACCTCACGTCATTCATTATTCATTGACTAGAGACTTACCAGACTAGGGCCAAGGCGGTACTCCAGCCTTGTAAAGGAACGCTTATTTAGCAGTTACACACAACAGGTTGGGGGGACGGTGCTTTGAATTAGAGTTTACATTTTGTATATTTCTATTTATATAACCGAACTTGAGTTAGCTGGTGATGAATCTTGAAGTGCTAGAGAGTGAAGTTTTCATGTAGCCAGGGCTAGCCTTAAATTTGCACCACCCAGTTCCCGGGTGTAGGGTGGGTGTGGGGATATCTTAAAACCAGCTTTAAAAAGAATTTTCCGTTTACTCCAGTTTCCATAGTTAGTTTTCGTGTGTGTGTGTGTGTGTGTGTGTGTGTGTGTGTGTGTGTGTGTATGTGTGTGTGTGTTGTTCTTTGAGGCAGGTGCCACTGTGGTGGCCCTGCTGGCCTTGACGTCCCAGAGCCCATGCCCCAGCCTCCCTAGTACTGGGTATACTGTACAGGTGTCAGCCACCTCACCTGAATTTTTATTAGATTGTAATGAGGCATGACCTCTGTCAGCATCATGTCTTTATGACTAGGAAGATGGGATTTAGAAAACCTCAAAGAGGAAGAAGCCTGTTTTAAAAGGAGTTTGACTGCTTCCAGATCTTTTGGTTTTAACTGGACCAATGGCTGTCCCCCTCTACTTAGTAATGGGTGCTAGAAACTGATTTAAGGTTGCTTCAGGGGTCTGGTATGGTGGAACACTTGTGTACTCTCAACATGGTCAACGTGGGGAACATGGAGACAGAATCAGGAGTTGGAGGTAGGCTGGGGAGGTGGCTGAGAGGGTAAATCGTTTGCAAGACTGAGGACCAGAATTCCTTGACTGATTGCCAGAACCCATGTAAAGAAGTAGGGTGGGCTGGGAATTACAGCACCAGGAGACAGAAATCCGTTGAGTAAACTGGCTATTTACACCAACCTAAAAAGTGAGTCCAGGGTTTGGGGAGAGAACTTGTTTCTGTATATAAAGTGGAGAGTGAGCCGGGCGGTGGTGGCGCACGCCTTTAATCCCAGCATTTAGGAGGCAGAGGCAGGCGGATCTCTGAGTTCGAGGCCAGCCTGGGCTACCAACTGAGTTCCAGGAAAGGCGCAAAGCTACATAGAGAAACCCTGTCTCGAAAAACCAAAAAAAAAAAAAAAATTAAAGTGGAGAGTGATCGAGGACACCTGATGTCAACCATGGGCCTCCACACTCACAGCCCTGCATGTGCACATGTACCCAACACACATGCAAACATGCCTACACATGTGCACACATACAGCAAAGAGTGGGAAGGCAACCTAAGCTACATCATGGAAGTGATGATCATGTCGTTTGTTTAGTTCTTCCTTCATTATTTATGTGGCTTCCTTGTAGATAATGTGCTTCCTCACCCACTGACTTTGGACATGGGTGGCTCCAAATTGCCATGCCTATCATGAGATGCCATATCTGCTTGCTCCCTGAGCTCTGACCTTTGCCAGGAGGGTAGCTTATCTAAAATGGCCTTTCAGATGGGTGGTAACTGGCTTAGCAAAGGACAAAGGGAGGCGGGGAGTCGGGGCCATGGGGATAACTGCTGAGTGGGGCCAGGGGGAAGGGACACAGCATGCATGCCTTCCTGGCAGGCCCACCCCCTGAGAATCTCCATGTGTTAGTTACCTGGGAGCTGCAGGTTTAACTGTGGGATGACACGAGCAAGGCAGTTGAGTGAGAGTGGAGCTTTATCTGGGGGCCTTCAAGACATTTCTTTTGGAAATCAACTATTGATAACCCTTTGGGGATCTGGTGTCTATCACATCTTGCCTTCCCTTTCCCAACATCATCCCCTTCCCTGGCCACCAGGAGGGTTTTACTATTTGAAGAGCATTCAGGTGAACCCAAATGTACCTGCCTCTGTATTGCAAACACCTTCTTAAAACAACACAATAGTTATTTCTTGGTGCCTGGACAACTGGTTCTTAGTTCTATCCAGAATACTTTTTTTTTCTTTAGGTTTGGTTTTTTCAGATAGGGTTTCTCTGTGTCCCTGGCTGTCCTGGAACTTAACTCTGTAGACCAGGCTAGCCTTGAACTCACAGAGATCTGCCTGCCTCTGCTTCCCTAGTGCCAGGTCTTTCCAGAATACTTTTATTACACTTTTAATTAGTCTGAAATTCTCTTTTCCAAAATAGAGATTACAAGTGCTGGTCTAACTCTTGTACAACAATGGCATGCAGAATTGAACTATACTAGCCTAGTAGTTAAGGAGGTGACATCCTTCTGCCTCAGTGATGTAACGTGGTAATGTACAGAATCAAATGAAGAGCTAGCTCAGGGTTAGAAATAGCAAGCATTAAACAGAGTAACCTCCACACTGGCACATGTAAAGCCATCCGTTGCCTTGTTATTCCTATTGACCCAGGAGCCTTGAGCAAGCTCCTGTCTACTGCCTGGTCTGTTTATTTTATCCTGGGGATAAATCAGGATACATCTTTTATTGTTGTTAAAGAATGAACAAATATAAAGTACTCACCAAATTAATATTACATGTTTTTATGATTATCCACAGAATAGAATAATCTAAAGAAATGTACAGAAAACTGAAACTATTAACTAGTTAAAATTTATTATGACTTCATAAATTTGTTTTGAGACAGGGTTTCATATCACATTTGTCATATGTGTGTTTTGAGCCAGTAATCCACAACATACCCAGACTGACCTAAAACACTTCTTCATTGGGTGCCTGAAATTCTGGGATTACAAGCATGCTCCACTGTGTCTGGTCCACAGCATCAAACACAAACACACACACACACACACACACACACACACACACACACACACACACTGGTTATTCTTAAAATGTTTAGAAGCAGGTAACATAGGCTTTTTAGAAAACTGTCATGAAAACAAAATGCAGACACTCAGTATCTGTCATGGCTAAGGACAAATACTACTGTGACTGTAGAGAATAATGAAGTCATTTGAATAACTACCCAGTTATCTTGTTCGTGGGTCACATGACAGAAACAAGTCACATTCACATACTCCAGTGGGTCTTTAGTGCAGAGATACCACATGATTTCTGAGCCTAGTAATAAAGTGCAGGATTGGAATCGTGCAAACGCGATCCACAAGATGTCACTGTCACACAGACAGAGCACTGGTTCTCAACCTTTCTAAGGCTGCGACCTTTTGGTTCTTCGTGCTGTGCTGACCCCGACCACAAAATTACTTTTGTTCCTACCTCGTAACTGTAATTTTGCTCCTGTAGGGATCGTAATGTAGGTCTCTGGAATACAGGCTTATCTGGTATGTGGCCCCTATGATGGGGTCACGTGGCTCCCCACTGTGGTTGTGACCCACAGGTTGAGAACCACTGCACTAGTGGCACCAGCCCACGGGGATAAAATGTCTCCAGTGACCTGGAAAATGGAGTTTCCAAGTTTTCTTCTTGTTCAACTTCTTATTCACCCATTATTGTCGCCCTTAATTTCAGCCCATTTTTCATCTGATAGTAAAATTGTTTTTTCTACATGTTTACAGTTGTAGTCTAGGTAGCTAAAGTTAAAGTAGCTCATATAATGTTATAGAATCCATTTATATGAAATTAACTTCCTCATCCAGCACACATTTTCTGTACTAATAAAGCCTTTTAACATTTGAAATTTTATTTTAGACTTTACTGGAAAGATGAAGCCCGACGAAACACCTATGTTTGACCCAAGTCTACTCAAAGAAGTGGACTGGAGTCAGAATACAGCTACATTTTCTCCAGCCATTTCTCCAATGAATCCTGGAGAAGGCTTGGTTTTGAGGCCTCTTTGTACTGGTGACTTGAATAAAGGTATGGGCCCAATTTAGTTTGCAAACCTGACTAGAAATCCATGCTTTCTTCCTAAGCATGATGCTAACTTAGAGAGTACTTGAGTTTGTCCTTGGAATGACTGGAGCACTCAGTTGTAATAGGTATGTATCATGGAGGCAGGATACTCCTATGATGTATTTAAAATAACTAAATACAGTAGTACTCCTTCCAAAGGGATGCCTCAAAAACAAAAATGAAGTTATACTGTCTAAACACATGGAAAAGAGTTTTCTCCAAGAAGCTAGATATGCAGAAATAACATTCACAGACAAATTGAAGGGGTTTTATGTACTCCAGTGTAATTCTATAATATCTAAATTATCCAAAATAATTTTCTGAAACTTTGGTGATGAAGAATCAACATTTTACCAGACTATTTTCTTCTTCAGAGGTATTTGAGAAAAGTAACTTCGGTTAGAATTACTGCACGTTGAAAAATTAAGACTTGGGGCTGGAGAGATGGCTCCGAGGTTAAGAGCACTGACTGCTCCTCCCGATGTCCTGAGTTCAATTCCCAGCACCCACATGGTGGCTCACAACCATCTGTAATGAGATCTGACACCCTTTTCTGTGTACATAATAAATACATAAATCTAAAAATATTAAAAAGAAAGAAAAATTATGACTCAAGAGTTCTAAATATATTTTTAGCATTATCATTAGGGTATTTTTTTTTTTTTTAAAGACAGTGTCTATTTAGCCCTGGCTATCCTAGAACTCTCTATATAGACCAGGCTGGCCTTGAACTCAGAGATTTGCCTGCCTCTGCCTCCTGAGTGCTGGGATTAAAGACACGCACCATTATGCCTTGGCTGTATTAACATTAGTAAAATTAGAAATTTAGAAAGTTGTCTAAACAGTGTTATATCAGTTACATTGTAGCTTACAAATGATAATTTGTGGAAGTGAGAATCTTGCACTTCAAGTGTTAAGGAAAATGTGGTATCCCTTACATAAATCTTTAATAGCAATGAACAATGTACATGCTGGTTCTGTAATTAAAATCTTTTTTTTGTTGTTGTTTTTTGTCTTTGTTTTTCGAGACAGGGTTTCTCTGTGTAGCTTTGCACCTTTCCTGGAACTCTGTAGCCCAGGCTGGCCTCGAACTCACAGAGATCCACCTGGCTCTGCCTCCTTAGTGTTGGGATTAAAGGTGTGTGCCTCCACTGCCTGGCCCTATTCTAAAATCTTTGCAGGCAAATAAGGTTGAGGGCTGTCATTTGCTTTCTGATTATAAAAAGAATAGGTTGCAGTTTAATAAAAATAATGCAATAGGTACTTGTATGAAAATGTCCTTATGTAATTCAGTACTATATGCAATGAATGCACACTGCAGACTCTATTGGAAATTTGCATGTTTAATCAACAAAAACTTGATTAAGGATT